TCCCGATTTGACTGCGCGGCAGTCTCAGGGCATGAATGATGCCATCAAGGATTGTCATGTACGTGGACCATGTAGCAAAGCAATGTTCATCTCGGGCATGTAAACGATAAACCAGGATGCTTTTGTCAGCACTGTGAATACTGGCATCACTTTCTGAGTCATGTGGATCAGCATCAGGGGGCTGGAACGGTGGTTGTCCACCTGGTGCTCCTGGATGGTCGTTCGTATAATCCATGTCATCATCAGCTTGGCATGAACGCTGAGGGTGGGAAGCAGCATGATTTCTTTCGCCGCCGTGATGTTGATTGTCACTCGCTGCAGCGATGATTGGCCACGCAGTCTGGATATGCAATACGAAGGAATGTCCAGCACGCATGAAATGTAATTGTCTTTGATCACAGGGAATTTCATTCCAACCAAATGTGATCAGGCAGCGATGATTGACCGTGTTGCACCAATGCATGCAATCAGCCGCATCAACAATGTTGAATCCAGAAATCATGGGGCCAAAGGACGCCGCAACAGCAAATGAGAATTGCTGCGCAGAGCTTCCAGAGTAGTGCGTCGTGACAATACCCGAAAGACGATGAATCCATGTACCCTGCGACAGGATGATATCTGCATGCGTGGGTTGTGTCAAAGAGCCTCTATAAGGGTCAGGAAAGGCGACATTAAAGTCAACTTCTTCCTCAGGCCGAATGTGGTCTCTCCACGCACCCCGAAGGTCAGCATCCCATCTTCTCCAATCTTCAGATAATTCCAAAATTCGATATTCAAGGTTTCTCTGATGATGGACATGATGAATGTACCAAGTGCGCACTCGGAAAACGTCTTCAGTGTCGAGATCCGTAAATGCACCATGTCGTTCAGCCATTTCGAGAAGGTCATGAACAAATGGTGGAGCATGGACAGGATCTGGAATGACGTCCGGATCAGGCTCTTGTTGTTCCGTATCCTGTCGCATCTCAGGTGGAATTGGGTTCTGCCATTGGTCAATGATACGACACCTGTCGATGGACAAAGGGTCTTCTGCAAAGTTAGGACTGGAGATACACACGGCCAAGCTTGACAGCGGATCAACATCAGTCCTACTCAAAACACACTGTAGATGGTGAATGATGGTCGAGAGATCCTCCTCAAAATTGATGTGACAAAGCTCTTTCTGTGGGATCTTGATCCCTGTCATACAAATTGTCGTGTCATGACCAACCAGAACTTCGACATCATCACAAAATCGAACACGACCGTGACAATGCGGTGGAGTTGGAAAAAGATCACGAAGAGATGAAACATTTTGGCGTACAATGCCATCGTAAGTCCCCAGCTCGAAAGACAATTGTCTGGCACATTCAACAGCTCCCCATTCTGTCAAGAAAGCCGGCTCAAAGGTGATCGAGTGGGACCATTTGGCAACAAGCAATGAAATGGGCAAAATGCACCTTGTGTCAACAGGCTTCAGGTTGAAGTACGAAGATGTCACTTGCAACCAGCCTAACCAAAAGGCTTGCCATGCTCTGCTGATTCTTCTCTTGGAGCGTCCTGCATGCTGGCATCTTCCTCCTTGGGATGTTTTCGCCTGGGCCTCTTTGCCAGATGAACTTCTTCTTCTGGAACTGCCATAGCTTGCTCTTGAAGCGTGGCAAGAGACTTGTTGAGATCCACCATTGTATCGGTGATTTTCTGTGCTGATCCCGATGTGGAAGTCGTCAGGTCTTCAAACTCCTCGTCCGAGATCTCCTGAACTTGTCCAGCTGCTTCGTGTGCTTTGGCAGACGACACTTTCGCTTCCAAGAAAGCCTCTTTGGTTGTAGTGATCTGCTCTGCAAGTTTTTGTTCTTGAGCTGCAAATTGCGCTGCATACTCCTGCCATAACTTGACTGCATCTGACAAGAACTTTTTCCAGTTGTTGTGCAGTTGTGCACGTGCAAGCATCTTCGTATGCTTTGCGCATGTGCCCTAAATGGGTTGCAGCTGCATGTAGATTCCTTGTGGCTTGTGCACCATCTTTGACTCCATCCTTGATCGCCGACTCCTTCACTGCTTTCTGAATGTGCGGCGGAAGAACAGCCACATCTTGCTTCAGCATCGTCATGAGCTCTGGGGAGACTTGCTCTGTCTGCCCCGGCATGGTGGGCGCTTTTGGCATCACCGGCATTGTGAATCCTGCTCCCATGACAGAGTTCATTGATTGCACTGGTGGCATAGGCTGCATCGTTCCTTGTGGTGGAGCAGACCACTGTCCACCAGGAGGAGGAGGAGGTAATGGAGGTTGGCTGCCACTGTGTGGAAATGGCGCCTGCATCATAGGCATAGGTTGCATGCCCCAATTCATGAGAGGCGCTGCAGGTGGCATTTGACCTGGGTAACCCATTGGCATCCCAATCATCTGTTGGTTCGGCATCATAGGACCTTGCGGAACTTGTTGTTCTCCTCGAGGGGTCTTGTTGCCCTTGGCGCTCCTCGGCCTCGACTTCCTTCTCGGAGTTTTGGGCCGACTGTTGCCATGTGGGTCCCACTGTGCACTTTGCTGTTGCCACAGTTGATTGCCTTGCCAGTGATTCGCATACTGCTCCTGATCGTTCTGCCAATTCTGGGAGTTTTTCGCACCATGGACATATGTCCGGTCGATAACAAGGTGCCATGGCATATTGCACGTAGGGCAATGAAGCGCTGACTGTTTCCTCAGTTGCTTGCAACCCGAGCACCTCCATGGTACATTTGTCATGGTGGACATTGCTCCTCGAACTTGACGAAGAAAGGCTTGATCTCGAGAGTGATGGGACTCTAAAGTCCGTGCGAGTTGCTGCAATTGACTCCTTGACAGTGAGATGAAACCCTTCCTGAAAAGGTACCAATTGAGTCTCGCCTTCGCTCTCTTTCTGCGTTGAGCCCTCCTGACTGAGTTGAGCGCCGTGGTCAAAGTCAACCTGGATGTCGTAGCCCTCTACAGACAAAACCTCGATGGACAGGACGAAGCGCAAGACAGCCAAAGAGCAAATCAGATTCTTCTTGTGCAGGATCGAAAGCAGGGAAATGAAGATCAAAAATGCCCTGATCATACACCAAGAGAAAGTGGAAGTCCTTGAAAAGGCACCCAGGATTTATTACGGTGCTGGGACACCAGGACAGAGGTGATGCTGGTACGAAACACAGCAGAGCACAATCGCAAGGCCCAGGGCGAGACCAGTTCAAGCTCAAGCGAAAGCGCAACCAATGTCGAAAGAAATTGCCCGCGGGATACGGACAGGATCCCGCTAAGGTGATTGGAAACACGTCGTGGGGCACTTGTGATCCAAAACCTTTCATCGTCATTTGACATTTCTTCCAGCAGTTCATGATTGTCCTCCTCCAAGTTTAAGTCAAAATCCTCCAACTCATTGAGGGTGAAAGACCGCTCTGCACTGTTCAATTCAACTGACGGTAGATGCTCTGAAGTTTCAGGTGCTGGCACGTAGTATCTGTGTGGCTCAATGTACCTTCTGTTGAGCGTCTCATATGTTGAAATGATCTGTCTAATCTTCAGAAAGGCCTCAGAAATTGCATTCTCTCTAATCTCTTCAAAGAAGATCGATGCTGTTCTCAATGGGTCCAAAGAGCTTTCTAAAGCTTCGTCCATCCTTGCCTTGAAGCTGACAGCAGAGCTGTGCGATTCGAGATAGAATGTGCTGTACTGGTAGATTTTTTGTCTCATGATGAGCTTGTTGATCGACCCGTCACCAGCTATTTGGACCATCGGCATCATGGAGTCAACATGCTTCTTGTTTGTTCTTGTACGTTGTTTCCACTAGCTACCGGACAGTACAACTGGTTGGTGGTGCAATAACCATCTTGAAAAATATGAGTTCGTCAATGCCAAGGATTATTTATCCCATATATATATATATATGATGGAAAATAAAAGCCATGTTTGAAACCACCAACCAGTATATTAAGATACATAAGAGTTGTTTTATAATTCACTGTTGTTTCCAGCACCGTTGGTTCCACCGTACACAAAAAAAATATTGTGTCACTAGGAAGGGCATAAAAAGCATCAGGAATCCAGGGCCGCAAACTTCTAGTAGTCGAGTGAGTCTAGTGAATAGAGATCAAGAAAGGAAACACAACCATTGAACACCTGGTATCATGGAATTTATGGTGATTTAATGGGACTTTATAGTGATTTAATGGGATATTAATGGGATATACCCTCTGGTAATGTCAAAATAGCTATTGATAATCGCCCATTTGTAGTTGATTTACCTATTAAAAATGGTGGATCTTTCCATAGTTATGTTAGTTTACCAGAGGGTACAATCCACAAGGGATGTGAAAAAAAAGATCCCTGAAGGGGCTACCCTGCGATACCAATCTTCTGAAGATGCTGCTGGCTGAATCTTCATTGCTAATCTCGGGTACCGAGATTAGTTGTGTGTTGTGTTTATCCTTAGTTTGTTATATCTAATTTATATATTATAATATAATATATATTATTATATATCAATATATATATATATACAATAAATACCCGCATCAAAATTGAAACGTGTTAAACATTATTGAACTATGAAAGTAACGCCCCAGTCCGTTGACCCAACAAATGGTGGCATCCCATTCTTAACTGTGCAACAAACCATAGCAGCTAAGCCGATACTCATGGATACTCAGGGGCCGATTCCTTGCGATCAGAGGTACCGAATTCCTTGGTTGCATCAGGTAAAACATTTAATCAAACATTGAATGACTCAGTGATCCTCTAAGTAATCGTCTTTTCAGGGATTGCTATAGCTTTTAAAAAACCATATGTATGGCATCTTTGATGGTCGCATAGGTTGAGCCAAATCAAGTGAGCATCAAATAGCACAGTCACCAACGTCGAACTTAGTTTTTGAAAAACCAACGCTAGTTATATCATGTTATATTTCCCTTAATCATCCTTAATCAACCCAAGCATTAACCAACTTACGTGCGTCCTTGCTTCTTAAACATGGGGGCCCTTGGATTCACTACAACGGTGGCACAGGATGACGCCACAACTCCAAAGATCGCAGGCGCTGCTGTAGTTCCCACTGACCACCTGGGGGCCAGGGCGGGCCCGGGGGTACCTAGTGATTCACCCAGGTCAAGGTGCGGCCCGCCCAGCTGTAACTTGATTTATATGTCCATCTGTTATATCCATAGTGGTTAAGACGGAAATCGCATTTGAACCACACAAGCTGTAATTAGAAGGGATTATAGACATGCTCAGCTACAGAAATCGAAATGATTCTGGTTTAATCAATCAACTATAATTAATATGCCTCATATAAGCAATATAGGCATGAGTTTGTCCGGAAATGGATGATTTATGGGTCAACATTGGGTAGCCTAAGAATTCCTTGGTTACTACAAAAATAGACGTTCCAATCTGTAGTCCCCTGGGTCTTGAATGTCGACCAGCTATTATGTGTGTTTACCCATAGGAACATACACAAAACATACTCATTACCCATGACGGATCCATGGTGCTGGTATATATGCTAACATAAAGGGGGTATATTGATGGGATCCATGGAGCACCATATATAGCAGCACCGTTAGGATCCGTCATGGGTTATAAAAGTGGTTCATAGATTTCCCTACTATGGTTTATAGCAATCCCCATCAAAACAGGTAGTATAAATCTAAATAATCTATTTTAATAACCCATCAACAATCATCTATCAACTATATCCCCGTGAATTTTCTGATCTCTCATGAATTCCAATGGCTTAAATATGAAATAACAAATCAACAAAGGCATTTCCGATAATCTCCTTTTGGTAAAAATAGGGGCCGGGAGCTGGTTAATCCCATCTATCATCAAACATACAAACCTGTTGTTTTTCAGGGCTTTCTGAGAACAAACCCCTCTATTTTCATCAACCAACCAATGGCAATTTGGGACATCTATGATCATTGCCAATCTTAGATACCCTGCAAAAAATGACAAAAACTTTGCTGGTGAACGTAGATATTCCCATTGATACCAAAAGACTAGTTAGGATTAGTTTCTATCCATCTAAGATTGACCTAGTGATTGACCTAGTGAGGCTTAGTGAGCTAAATATTCCATATATGGAGCACCTGGGAATGGGAAAAGGACATCTCCAGCTCGCCTCCGGTGCCGCATATGCCACGGAGCCCACAGCGGTGCGCAGCCCTGCACCTGCAGCTGAAGTTGGTGAATCCTAGTGCTGGTTATATATTAGTGTATATTCAATGGATATTCAATGGGTTGGATTAGGGGAAAATTTACATGAAAGCCCCATATTGAACGGGAAAATCTATGGTTTCCGGTTACGATTTTCCCTTAAACCAATCAAATGTTGTTTTATATAAACTCTAAGTACTGTGAGGGTACGCCCATGCGTCACCGCAAAACTGCCTGTTTTGGGGCCCTGGTTTTGGAACCTCATTTTGATCAAATACTGTAGTGTAGTTGTTTTTTTTAAATAATTATAGTAGTGTATAAATTATAATAAGTCAATTGGCTTGGAGTGGGGGTGCGATTATTTTATTACACACCAAATTCAACTCCAACTTCAGTGAAATGTTACTCTATAGTAGATGTACCCTCCAGTAAATTAACAGTTGGACCCTGGCATTTTTTAGAGGTTGGAAGATGAGTTCCACTCAAAATGGGTTAGTTTGAGGGTCTATGTCCATTTAAAATTATCCGGGGGTTATTACAAAATCTACTCTAACCTTAGTTAAGTCTTGGGTGTCCGGTCTATAGTAGATATAGATTATATCGACAATTCAGAGTCCAATTCCAATCGGCGACCGCGTCCTATTTAGCCATCGGTGCCCTAGAGCACTTGATGAAGTGATACCAGGGCTATGGCTTGGGGTACTAAGTATACATACTGTTGGATACGTATATATATATATATTATGGATATATGCAGACTTTTTCTTTGGAGATATATAAGATACTTGAAGGGTCCTCTCAGGATGCAGGTCTTCCCATTTTGCATAGGTCTCAGATTCCTTTGGATATTCCAATGCCTCCGAGGTGAATCAAAGCCGTTGCATCTGGAATTTGGAAACCACCTGGCAACTTGAACCTTGTGATTTTGATAATTTTAATGTTGCAAGCTTAAGACACACAACGACACACATATGATTTCATGCGTGCTGATAAAATTTAAGGTTTGCTGTTTTCCCTACAAGTTGCCATGCTCTTTTCAGCACCTTGTTCCAAAAAAAAAAGCTGGATAGGTCACACCCGCAGGCATAAGTTGATCTGCCCAGCTTTTCGACTCATTTATATGTGGGTTGCACCAAGTTTTACATCAGCTTCTATCCAGATTCATGCTGCCCAATGTCCGTGACACCTTTGTTGAGCCATTTTTGTCTGGTCATGTGTCCAGTCCTGTGGCGTCGATCTCATGCTTAATCCCCATGTTCATTGGTTGAAATGAACATCTCACATGTCCATTGCTTCAAGTCCCCAATATCGTTACCCTCTGGTAAACGTTTACATAGCTATGGAAAACCACTATTTTCAATGGGTAAATCCACTATTTCTATGGCAATTTTCCATAGCTATGTTAGTCCCCAATATCGTTATTTGAATTCCACATTCCGCGGATCGATCTCCATGGGTTTCTCATCTCCACTGCATACTGAGGCGCTACAATACTGAGCCAAACCAAAGTCTGCCTGCAAAGGGCTGAAGCACCGTGAAACGGGCCCTGAAAATACAACCCGTTTTCCCATCTACTCGTTGCTTCATAGGTTTCCCATGGTTTCCCTACCGGCGATCAGAATCGATAAATTGGGTATAGCTCCCAGCAAATGAACCAATCAACCAGTCTTTCTTTAATGGCTCAACTAACATTGACATAGACCGCATCCACCCTGCCAAATAGAGAGTTGGAAGAACAGTTACATTCCTCTAAATGAAATGATTCACAAGGTCTATGTTAGTTGGGATAGTCGGTTCACATGAAATTGAGGGAAAATATCCCAAGTTATTTCCATTTTAACAGGAATGATTCGGAATGATGATTAACCTCAATCAATGAGGAGATTGCATGAGATTGCGGGTTTTTCAGGGGGGTCTCGGGGTTTTCACATTGGGCCCTTGACCGGGTTTTCAATTTGGCCCCTTGAACAAACTGCAAATCACCGCAAATGGCAGGTCACTGAACCATACATTTATGTTTGATTTCCCGTACATGACAGGAACATATGTACTCTAATCAGTTTTATCTGTATGCCTTTCTTTGTCAAAACAAAAGACAGTTTGGACTGGTATGGAATATATTTTAGGAATAATAGGAATGATTGACCAAGAATGGTGCGAACAAGGGGGATATCTGACTCCATATTTGTTGATCAATGCCACGTGACATGCGGGTAAAACAGCAAGAACCCAACGGGCACAGTGAATATCTACCCAGTACAGTACTGTATGAATTGTATATAACGACAATCCTTGCAATGCGACCACTTGATTAGACAATGTGACATGATATCCAAGCCCAACAAAACCATCAACATCCACACGCTTTAGATTGGTTTCAATATCTTTAAATCAGGCCGATTACCTGCCCATGTTTGCAGCTTCATCTGGGCATGTTACACCTATGTCATACCGAAGAATTGGGATGGTTCAGATCCAATCATAGCCGTTACGCCATGGTATGCCGCTATACGGTATGTCCGCTATACGGGCCACCTGGAAAAAACATACCACCAATTTCGAAATAGATCCGATTTTTGGTGGTAGCATCAATGCTAACATTAGCATTGTCATTCATATTCACCTATTAATACAAACCATTAAACATTACATATATTTCATATCCAATACCAAGATCAATATACAACATATATACATATACCTATACCTATGAACCCTCGAACAAATCCACCATAGACGTAGTTGCGCCGGGAGACCAACTTCAACAGGACCGTCTCCTCTTCGAAGTCTCCTTCGGTCAGCAGAAAGTTCTCCAGTTTCAGGTCACGGTGCGCCACACCTATCCATTGGTGTTGCTTTTGGGCCAAGGCCACTGAGTGATCGCTGGAACCCGTGGGGAAATGGGGGGTTCAGTGGGGAAAATGGCAAGTTTTCATGGGATACAATGCGAATATACTCATATAACTGTAGTGGGACATGTAAGAAATGGGGCCTCCCTATAAGTTGGTCTATGAGAAAAAAACCATCTAACTTTACACAATCAGCATGAAACGAGAAAACCTACTTAAGAACAAACTTGGCAATGGAGCACAAGCTTGTGTAAAAAAACATTGATATATCATTTATGATATAACCGCTATATAGCCACTATATATGGTAACTTCTATATATACAGTAAACCACTATTCCAAAAAAACATGGGATATGACAAACCTTTATATGTACAGGATACATATATTGGTGCTGGAACGAAACCCGAACATCATGGGGAACACAAGTCAGTAAGTATTTATATAATTAAGATTCATATATTGTAGGAGTAATATAAATGGGGATATTTGTGAATTTATAATGATGGTACTTTAGTATACTTTAGTCACATAGATTGAGATTTGAGATTTGAGCAAGAACATCTGCGGATGTACCAAAAAAACATGTGCATGGAAACAAGAAAGGCGTTGTGAACAACACCGAACTACAGAGTGGACACAGTAGTTCCTATGTATCGATAAACAAAAATGCTAGGTAAAGCAAGAAACTCAAAACATGCTGCACAAAATTAAATCAAATCATACGAATCTTCGACGCAACAAAAAAAAAACATACTTGTGAGGTACTATCAACAGAGAATGTTGTCTCTGACAGTTTACACTTGGAATGGTTGAATAAGTATGAATAAGTCACCCTTTAAATCATCGGATTGCCATGGGCGTCCCGGACAGTTGCCGACTTCACGAAGTGACTTGAAGATCGCGAAGATTCGATGGGCATGGCGGATTCAAAAAAAACATGTGCCAATGGATGTGATTTTTTTGTGGCTTACTATCTACTATGTTTGATGAATTTTGTGGATTACTATCTCCAGTTGTTGCTATTCCACCACAAATCTGGTCCAATGATGATCATTTACAGGCCTGAAGAGACATTCTGGATGATGATAGTACTATATTGCTATATATGGGCGTTCATATGTATAAGTAAATACACGTATAATCATGTATACATATCTTACACTTACCCCAGGTTAGAACTTGAGATCAAGTTAGAGTAGGCTATACTATAAGTTAACTTACGTCTTTGGCCCCCTTCCCGTACATATATACATCCTGGAGTAAATAGATTCTAAAAACAAACAAATCCTCACCAAAACATAGCAGTATGCTTGACAACTCGATATTCTACTCAGGATGACTATAATTCTACCCGCAGAAACTGACGTTCGCCCAAGATGACTCAGATATGTCTCATGTTTCCCACAGTTTTCACACATGTTTATATATATATATATATCCCATAGGATCCATGTATGGTATATATGCTAACATTTGGGGTATATTGATGGTAAATGTTACCATATATAGCATACATGGATCCTATGGGTATATATATATATATATACATCTTTCTATCAGAATTGTGCTTTTCTTTGAGGGGTGAGCTTTGCGATTAGTAAATTAGAGCGATCCAGCAATATCTCCCCGACCTTGGCCATGTACATAGGCGATCCTCGGCGGGCCCGCGGGGGATTGTCCAGATATCTACGGGAATTTATTGGAGGCTATATATATATATATGTATATATTATTATTATTATATTTATTATATATATATATCTATTACTATAGACACAGGTAGCTATATATATATATAATTAAATATATATATATATATACTAATACACACACACACACCACATATTCTGGCAATAGCCGGTTGTTTGTTGCACCCTCCAGTAGTGACGGTGATTCTTCCAGATGAGACCTGAACCAATTCAGCGACTTGAAATGTCTGACGTCCTTTCAATTCACCCGGATTATCGACACGGTTCAATTGTGATTGAAACGCTACCAATTCCACAGGTTGATGTGGTGTTTTAATATGTTTCAATACGCCACCCTGGGGCATGTCTTGTCACATTGGGTGTGCGGCCACATGGATTTGTCTGGAAATAGGGTACCTCATGGTACCTCTACATATCCGCTGGTTTACTATATACCCTCTGGTAAACAAACATAACTATGGAAAATGACAATCTTTTATGGGTAAATCTACTATAAATGGCCATTTTCAATAGCTATGTTTGTTTACCAGAGGGTATACAAATTGCCATTTGTGGGTTAAATCACCCGTTTTCAGAAACACTTGTCGTTTCGCATAGTGTGCCCACTACAACCCCGTTTTATGTCCATAAGCCAGCCATGTTTCAAAAAAACCAAACAGCGACCCGCAGCCAAGCGACGCCGAAAAGACTTGCTTCATCAGTGAGGAAGCGAGGCTTTCCGTGAAGCTCCCTCCGTGCAGACGGGTGGTGCCACAGTTGGCGTTCAGCTGGTGTCTAAATAGGGCACGTGTTGGTGTCGTGGTAATGTGGTAGATATATCGACACTATATGATATATGTTTAGTACATATGTATACATATGGCTGTGAGTCAAAATTGTGTATGGAACGTTCCGCGCTGTTCCGGACGTATGGAACGAAGGGGCTTCGTAACTGGTCTTGATCCGGACCTTTGGAATGTGATGAAATATAGGCTATACATCAATAAAAATCTATATGCTATACACTATACATCAATAAAAATATATATGTATGCTGTATACTTGTATATAATATACATCTCAAGGATTTGCACGTTGAAGCTACTCACGCTGGCTGCCGCTCATTTTCACTTCTCATCTGCGCGGCATCCTTGTTGTACACCTGTTCAACGCAGGTTTGCCTGCATGGCTAGTGCTCGTGCACTAGCTAGGACACAGCCGGTAGCCAGGGTCATCCATTGGCTACTATGTGAAGCTGTCCACTCAGCTTGAGATCTCCTCCTCTTAAAACTCAGAGGTCCCTATGGGGTAGATTGTGTCCCCGCGTAGAAAGACTCTAGGCTCCCATAACCCAGGCGCAAAGGATGGCTTAGGAGCAGTTTATGTGAGAACCTGCCATTTGTTCACCCGGAAGTGGGTCAGGGGTGGTACATGGGTGGTCCGGGTCTGGAACGGGTATGGAACGGTATGGAACGGGGTCTGGAACGAAACGGCCCACTCCAGCACAGCAGCACATCTTTATCAAAATTGGCAGTTTGGAGCGAGAGTAGCGCAGCAAGCAATTCTTAGACTGCCAGCTGGCAACAGCCAAGCGCATCTCTACCATCAAACATCACAGCTGTGCCACAGCGGGCAGCAACTGTAAATGGTGCAGGCGCAAACCTGCCACAGGTTGAGAGGGAGGGAGGGTTACAACCAATCCATTCTTAGACTGCCAGCTGGCAGCACCAAAGCACATCCCTACCATCACAATCACAGGGCTTGGGCATAGTAAACGTATTTTTGCATGTACACACTCATGTATGTATGTGCTCAAGTATGTGCGTACAAATTTAAAATCAGACTGCACATGTTAAAATATATACATATATATATGTGTGTATATATATATATATATGAGCTACCTCCAAAACTCTATTGCCCCAAAATGGAATATCTATTTTTCCTTCGTTTTAAAGGGTCACCTTCGTTTTACAAGGGTTTCGACCAAACCTTCACAGATATACGTGCGATATCGCGCAGTCATCATTTCGAGCTAATGGCAGCAGCAATGGCAAAAGTTATAAAAAAACAGTGCCAGGATGTGCTAGGATTAGTACTGTGACTCGTAGAAGCGACAAAGGTGCTAGAAGAAGCAACAGTGGCAGCGCAAGCAGCAGGAGCAGGAGCAGGAGCAGTAGCACTGGAGTAGCAGTAGCAGTGGCAGGAACAGTGGCTGTAGCAGTGGCAGTAGCAGCAGCAGTAGCAGCAGCAGTAGCAGTAGCAGCAGCAATGGCAGCAGCAAGTGACAGCAGTGACAGCAGCGACAGCAGCGACAGCAATGACAGCAGTCACAGCAAGTCACGGCAAGCCACAGCAGCAGCTACCAGCAGCTACCAGCAGCTACCAGCAGCTACCAGCACCAGCACCAGAAGCATCAGCATCAGCATCAGCAGCAGCTGCATCAGCAGCAGCAGTAATCGCGGTGATGCCGGCGCTGTTGGTGCTTTGCTGGTGCTGGTAAGACAAATGCCTGCAGCAAAAGCACAACTAGGCCCCGCAGTGGCAATGGTAGTGGTTGCAGTAGTAGCAGGATGGGGAAGAAGGTTTGCCTGCTCCTGGCCAAGTTCATGCCAAGCTGCTTGTCGTGAACTTTGCCTTCGTTTTTGCCTTCGTTTTGGCTTCGTTCCAGAACGCAAAACCAGACGGGAAAACGAAACCGCCGGATAAAAAGAATACGTGCAGGCGGAAAGCAGAACTTGACAAAATGTAAATGCAGCAGGAGGAAAAACAAGATAGGAAAAAAACAAACGGGAACAACAGAAAGAAACGAAGGCGGAAAAGAAGCCAACAGAAACTGTCACAGGAAAGGCATGAACACAAGAAAGGAAACAAAAGGAAGACAAGGGAAAACAGGTAAAGACCAAACGACAATAACTCCATGATACACCATTCTTGACGTTCGCTTCTCAAATGGAAATCTATCAACAAACATTAGTTGTAAGGTTTGCCTTCGTTTTAAAGGGTCACCTTCGTTTTTACAGGTTTTGAGCTATATTCCATTCCAATACATATCCCTTACATAGACCTTTTTGGTGGTAGCCCATATCATAATGTATGGATCAGAGGTATGGAACAGAGGTATGGAACGGATCCTTCAAACAGGTATGGAACGGGGGTATGGAACGGGTGTGGTCCCGGACCTTGTTCCGGACCTTATATTTTGACTTGCACCCATATGGGCTGATACACCAACCAACATAACCAGCCGGGCTCTATGGCACTATGGCATAACTATTATATAAGTATAACATAGTATAACCATGGTACAGAAAACGTCAATCATGAACAACTTAAATAAATGGGACATCAACACGGAGGGCGACTTTCACCAGTGGGGGAGTTCACAGCCATTCCCACAGAAATCACGACGTTTTTGAGGCGTTGTTAAACAATTGAGTTTACCCTCTGGTTATGTCAACATAGCTATTGAAAATGGCCATTTATAGTGGATTTACCCATTGAAAATGGTGATTTTCCATTGTTATGTTAGTTTACCAGAGGGTATCCACAATGAATCACAATGACTGGTTGGTGGTTGACGAATTGACGAACCCCTCTGAAAAATGATGGAGTGAAAGTCAGTTGGGATGATGACATTCCCAACTGAATGGAAAGTCTTAAAATTCCATGGTTCCAGTCACCACCAACCAGATGACGATCCCATTGAGCCACTTGTTTTGTTCTGTACTTGCCCCAGCCATTTCCCAAAAATCCGACGCCGCTAAATCCCCTAAATAATCATCCTTTTCCTCGTTGAACATGTCATGACATGCGATTGCAAGCTCAAGTGGCTAATTAACATATTCAATATGTCATCAATATCATTAACATCTTATATCAAACTATGTTTTGAATATGTAGAATATGTATGAATATGTAAATATGTACACACATATGTATGAAACAGTATTATATATAATCATGTTTGATTTCCAAGTTTCATAAAACGTCATCATTCGTCTTCCCCACGAGTTAAGCAACCGGACCCAACTGCAAGATGCGATCCAAAAGCTCGCCTGAAAAAAGATATTTTCACGACTTGGTTGGGGAGCAAAATGATGGAAACCAACATATATGCTCCATGTATGGTATATTTACCTACATTTGGGTGATTTTTAGGGCAAATGTAGGTAAATATACCATACATGGAGCATATGGGCATGATGCTGAAACTCGAATGTTTCTATGG